TTTATTAAATTAGAAAAAACCATAAAAGGTTAAATGTTTGTTCGGTCAATTCATTGTTGTCAGAATAGTAGATTTTTTAAAAATATATCTTAAAATAAATGCTTTGTACTATATAACAAAACTTTTCAAGATATCTGATAATACTAGTTGTCGTGTTCTTTTTCATCAACCATCAATTTACATCTCCTGCACAATTTAACAATGTTAGGATTTTTGATTTAAAGCTTTCGTGACTGCAGGGATTCATATTCTTGGTTCTTATTTTTATTATTTTATTGTTTCCCTTCTACGTGACTTTGCCGAAAGAACTAATGTTAGGATTGTTTTGCCACTGAGATTCCTGCACGCGTAGCATTCAAATGACAAGCTAGAAGCTAATGGAAATGTACGCAAGGTCAGACCACGATGAAATTAAACAAATCTCTTTTAAAGAAATATAAATGGAATCTTATTGCTAGCAAAATACGATATGTTTTTAAAACCAAATGTGCTTATGTGAGAGATGGTATTTCCCAAGCTTCGGTGGTTATGGGAGTGTATATTTACTCAGTCGACAAAACCAGCTTTAACGGAGTTTGCAATGCTCCACAACCACACTCGGATCTAACTGTAAAAGAAATGGCTCTGCACTTAATTCACACGAATTTTCAGACCTTTGTCAGTCCATTGACACACGCGTATGTTGCGAATGCCTCACCCATGCTACGTCGGCCACGGGGGTTGTTTGACCGTGCATGCTGCATATGTCACCCACCAACGCTATTAGCCATGGTTGGGAATTGAACTCAGCTCGAGTCCACTGCACGATGTGTTTACCGCCCAGCCACAACTCTCTGCCCGCTTCACACCGAATGAACGATCTGTGTTCATTGCACGGAAGTGAAAGGGGAGTTTATTTTGCGGCTTCATATTTTGTTCCACGAAAATTGAGTCACTTTTTCGTCAAGGGATCGCGAAATGCAATTCCACTGAGGCAGGCCAGGAAAGAACGTGCTCAGAATCAACGTGATTGTATCTGGCCGAGGTGTCGCTCTCTCCCTCTGCCGTGTGCTGGTGACACATTAATCAGACAATAGTTGCACGATAGTCGCATGATATTTCGAGTGTAACTTACTCTTTCCTCAGGTCCATAAATTAGCGTTTCTCGGTATATCTGTTCACAGGATTCTCCAGCCCTATCGCATTACCCACCCCAACTGCTGATTAATGAAAACCCTTCATTATTCTACCCTTCTGTGCCTGAAAGCGAATCCCCATTCATGAGCCCTCTCGCTCTAATGCAAGTAAATTACCTGCAGCTCCATAATCGGGATACCCTTTGAGATTAAGTGTTTCCACACTTTCCCACTGTACTTGCGTTATCACATCTGCGAAGGAATGGCCACAGAGAGGAAAGATGACGTGAAGGTTTGGCGTTGGGGTTTTGCCGACGATGCAGAAATTGCTTCCAGCTGTGGGACCTGGGTCCGGGCATGTGCTCTCTGCAAAGTGAGCCTCCTACTGAAATGTGTTGGCAATTTAAATTGATACGCGCGGTGTGCGCGCACACACACACACACACGCGCGCGTGGTGTTCATTTAGCAACCACCAGACCACTTATTTCATTCAGCACTGTCAATGGCTCAGTATAATTGTTTTTAATTATGGTCAGACTCACACACACACACACACGTATCGATATGCATGTCCTTTTTGCGCCAAAGTAAAATATCCCGCACGCACAAATACACGGTCGTTTCGACCAAGTACATCCAGCTTCACTGCGAAGGGCCTCGGGCAAGATTGAAATCACCCACTGGCAAGTAGCCATCAGACACTGCAGAGTGAAACCATGGCAAAGCAAACAGAAACCAGCCTTGCAAACGGAATGGGGAAGCGTGAACAAGAAGGGAGGGCCATGAAAGCGTTATACAACTCAGGTCAGATTTGGCAGACTCGATAACATAATGATCCTGATGAGGTCAGCCTAGGGCGCCGTGGTGGCTAGATGTTAACTACCTCGTCTGGTCTACAGGAGGTTGTGGGTTCCATCCCGACCCTGACGCCTGTTGTATATTTGGAGTTTGCGTGTCTTTGTCTCTCTCCTCGTGGTCGTGTGGATTTTTCCCCGGGTCCTCTGGTTTTATCCCTCCACATTTAGAATCAGGCGTTTAGAGTAATTGGCTGCTATCCACGTGATGATAAGCCACTTCGTTGAGCTATCATTTGCAATAGCCAGGTTGCTTCTGAAAAAGAGCGACACAGCTCAGTGGGCCTTACCTGATAAATTAGTAATAAAAAAGTAACCCAGACCTGGATTCCCCCTCTCAGGCACGCCTAGCTCGTGAGACGGTGTACGCCAGAGCACCCGGTGCTGGGAAAGAAAGGCTCGCGAAGCAGACCTTCCCACTCAAGGGCCGCTGACGGAAGTCACCTAGAGACACCGATGGCCACTTTGGGAGCGAGGAAATTGAAGGGGGCCCCCAAAAGTGTTGCGAAAATTAAGAAAAACAACGTCTTTGTTTATTTATATTTGTAAATGAGAATCTGACAGGGCCAGAGAGGCCTGAAATTTTGTTGTCACCGGGGACCTTTAAAAATCCCTTGTGTCGTTCCTGTTTCTGCTCATGGGTTTCAACTGAACCGTGTGCTCAAGGAAAGCGAGGAAACCCATCAATTGCCGACAAATGTTTGTGACTTGAACACGCAGCCACAGCCGGACGAGCCGAACCATCCACACTTGCAGTTCGCCCGGTTCAATTATCTTTCTAAACGTGAACGTTTTATGGGCTCTGACGTTTGTGTTAAATTACAGATTTCAGTCAACATTGCTCACGTGTGCCTCGTTCAAACTTTATATCAGCGTGGGCATGAAGCTGAAAAAAGCCCCCCCCCCCCCGTACCTGGCAAGATTCAGTTCACCCACAGCTCTTCTAGCCCAGCCGTACAATGGGGCTCTTTTATTCGACACCTCAGGGTGTAGGAATCCGAAATCGCCAAATAATGCACCGACACAAACGGTGGTCACCAAACGTGCAGGCATGTGCTCGTACTTGCTGACCCGTGCCCCTTACTGGACATCTGGTGAACAAGGGCTTCGGATTATTGGTTCTTTCGGTAAAGTCACGTAGAAGGGAAACAATAAAATAATAAAAATATAAAACAATAAAATTCTCACGACGTTTCGACTGCAACACAAGCAATCATCATCAGGTGTGAAAACCACAACAAGAAAAGAACCAAGAATATGAATCCCTGCAGTCACGAAAGCTTTAAATCTTAAGGGCTTCGTAGCTCATCGGATTCCCAAAGGCTGAAGAGAGATTCTCATTGTGCATGATAGAAATGAAGGTAGTTTTAATTTTTCTTGATATAAAAGATAAATGTTTACCCTGATTAAAAATGACCTTTAAAACACGGGGTGCCCGTAGTGGTAGCATACACTGTGAATGAAATTGTAATTACACGGTAATGTTATGCAGGGCCAATACAGCATCCACTGTTGGCTAGCTATTGAATAAAGACGGTTACCACATCGTGCTCTTAAATATGCCCTTCTGTGGCCATCTGGAATGCTCTTCCTTCCAACATTCGGAAGCCACTGCAGCTATGCACTTTTAAATCGTCTAGATTGAAAAATAATTTATTTTGCGTTTAGTTTGTTGTCTTTCCCTGCACCTCCGATTAGCACGGTTTGACTAGGTGCGGTGCGAAAGAAGTTCAACACGCATACATAGTATGAGGAGTTGAACGCGTGAGTTTCATGACTCTAAACCTCCGCATGTTTTCCACGGTGGTTAGCACGAACTTTTTGCCCAGATTTGGGGGAGTCGCGAGTGTTCGCCAACATCTCGGGTGTGATTATTTTGAATTCTTTCTGTCACGCGCTGCTGAAGATCAACAAAGCTTTTCGGTAAAAAAAAAAAACTTAAGCACACAAGGAATATGTTTCCAACATTTCAATCACACAGTCGAAACTGCTGTCTAATTATAATTCTTCAATAATGGATTATACCTTCATGGACATCCTGTAATTTTCGAATGCACGCGACTCCTCGGTTTATAGTAGCTTCGCTCAGAAACAAACAATTGCGCGTTGTGCGCACGTTATGGTAGGACACCGCTAAAGGTTACAACTTCCCAATGAAATCCGTTCCCGAGCACAAACACTTTCAATCATAAATCAAATCACGAACATTCCGAAAGCTAAATTGCTCCACTCCCTGAAGAATCGGGGGCATGAGTGCAGGACCACTTTAAAGTGACTCGACGCCTATTTGCGCTGAAGCCGCGCCCGCGAGCGCTTAACGAAGGAGCGGCACGCACGAGAGACGTCCGTAGAATCGAGCGGATTCGTGGGCGCCTAAGCGTGCGCGTCTTTGGATGCGGCCGGTAGGTTCAGAGGTCAGAGCGTGGAGAAACCAGTTCCTAGCGCCAAAAAAAACTTTCAATCGTAAATCAAATCGCAAACATTCCGAAAACGCCAAAATTACTCTACTCCGCACTGAGATCGAGCCAGCTGCCTGAGATTAAACTGGGTTCTCAGATATAGCGAGTGGATGGTTTCAGCCCCCGTCATCAATGGCCGAAAAAAAATTGGTTCTGCACTTAATTTGGCTACATTCCAGCTCTGGAAAATGTTTAATATCGGTCTGACCATCAAGTGATGAACATTACTTCCATGTGCAACTCAAGTAAATCTGAACTTAACTAAAGTGCTGCCTTCTATTGTATGGAACAGAGGTCACTTAATGGGATCTCAGAGGTAGCTCTGCGGTATATGCTTCCGTGGGTCATTATCTAACACGAGTTGCACTGCTCTGCGAGAGACTGGAATGGATGCATCACGTATGTACGTGTGTATATTGAACTTCTTTCGCACCGTACATAGCCAACCGTTCTAATCAGAGGTGTGGAGAGAGATGATGATGATGATGGAGAAATCGGAATAAAATTCTGCGAGCAGGGGATGGCGCGGGCGGGGGGGGTGGGGTGAAAAAAATCAAGAATCCGTTCTCACCACCGTCAGTGGCAGTGATGATGAGCACGTGCTGCGGCTGAGCCTCCCGGTCCAGGCTGCGCAGGAGGTGGACGTGCCCGTCGGGCGACACCGAGAACGCTCCGCCGTCATTGCCCCCGGCAGCTGCATACGTCACCTGGCCACTGGATCCCAGGTCGTCGTCCCTGGCAACCACCTGCACAATAAAAAGAGGGTTTAAGCGGGTTGGCAAAAGGTCACTGCGGCAGTCACTGCACTCGAGAACCCGGTTTCGTCGCAGGATGCTGAAGCCCCGATTCGGATCCAGGATCCCAGCAGTGAGAGCTCAACGCTCTGTGTTGTGAGTCACCCCAGTGACCCCTCGAATTCGATAAATAATTTCCAAGGCTTTTGGATCCTTCGTTGACGAATAAACAATCACGTAAAAAAAATGCCTCGCGTGGCGACGACTTTCATCCAGCAGTGGATCGACCGTGGCTGATGACGACGATGATGATTATGATGACGAACGTACAGTGAACTTGCTTTGCACCGTACGTAGCCAACCGTGCTAATCGAAGGTGCGGGGAAAGGACAACAAACTAAACACACGCAAAAAAAAAACTACAACAACAATGACAAAGCAAAAAAAAACAAATCTCCGAAGCTTGTCACGTGGTGAACTTTTCGCGCACCCTCACCTGCAGGATGAGCACCGGCGGTCCCTGGGTGTTCTCGCGCGCGTGCACCGTGTACGGCGACAGCTGGAAGGCGGGCGAGCAGTCGTTGACGTCGCTGAGCGTCACGCGGACGGAGGCCGTGTCGGAGCGCGCTGGGCCGCCCCCGTCCCGGGCGCGGACCGCCAGCTCGTAGGAAGCGGTGCGCTCGCGGTCGAGCGGCCGCGCGACCGCCAGGGTGCCCAACACGGGGTCGAGGCGGAAGTCCCCCGTGGGGTCGCCCGACGCGATGTCGTACCGCAGCTCGCCGTTGGCCCCCTCATCCGGGTCCCACGCCGACAACCGCAGGACCTGACGAGAGGCCGGCGGCAACGGCAAAGAGGTCAGGCTCGCGGCGGGGGGGTAGGGGGGGGGGTTAAACGCGAGGCGCGTTAGACTGGTCCACGCTGAAATCAGCACCACGCGGCGTTTTTTTGCGTGGTTCCAAAACGGCTTCGGCCGTGGATGCACGACGTTGTTCAGATCGTCATTTGCTAGCACACTGAGTGCACCATTTGGCGTTTCCGTGAAATACATTTTGTAAACATTCATCGGCGAAAATTTTTTTCATGTATTTGTCACAGAGACAGTGTGACAATGCTAATTGTATTCACTAACTCCCGGCAACACAGAGAAGCCAATGCAGAACCAACTAATGAGAATGCATGCGTTTAGACCCTTTAGATTATCTGCTGCTATAACTGTCCAAATGATAAGCCACTTTGTTGAGCTATCATTTGTGGCCAGGTCGCTTTTGAAAATACCTCAGTGGGCTTTGTCTGGTAGGATGGGGATGGTGTAGTTTGTGTTTGTTTGTCTTTGGGTCATTTGTTTACCTTTCTTGTACTTTGCACTCCTATCACGTGTTGTTTGTGTTGTTTGTTGTGGCAACGTTATTACCCGCCCCGTCTGGACATCTGTGAAAAAGAGCTTTTCAGCTCATTGGATTCCTCCTCCAGTACAAAGATTCTGACTCCGACTCGGCAACCCGATGACGTGGTATCCTTTTCACCAAACACCTCTCACATTGGCGCGTTTTGGACGGCGTGCTCGCCCGCTCACCTCCGTGCCGGGGGGCTCGTCCTCCGCGATCGCCGCCTCGTACTCGCGTCTCGGAAACCGCGGCGCGTTGTCGTTGGCGTCGCCCACGGTCACCGCGAGCGTCGCCGTGCTCGTCAACGGCGGCCGTCCCTTGTCGACGGCGAGCACCGTCAGCGCGTACGACTGCCGCGCCTCCCGGTCCAGCTCGCGCACGAGGCGCACCTCGCCCGTCACCGTGTTCAGCGCAAAAGGTCCCGGCCCAGCGCCCGCCCCACCGCCGCCCTCCTCCCCGTCCGTCGCCAGGGCGTACTCCACGTAGCTGTTGCGGCCGCTGTCCGGGTCGACGGCCTGCACCGTGGCGACGACGGCGCCCACGGGACTGTCCTCGGGCGCGAGCGCCGAGCGGGGCGACGTGAAGGCGGGCGCGTTGTCGTTGACGTCGGTGAGGATGAGCGAGACACGGACGGCGGAGGAGAGGCGGGCAGGCGGGTGGCGCGCCCTGTCGCTGACGCGCACCACCAGGTTGTAGAAGGACTGGCGCTCCCGGTCGAGCGCGCGGGCGACGCTCAGCTGCCCGTCGTTGCCCACGGCGAAGCGTCCCTCGGGGTCGCCGGAGGAGATGGAGAACTCCAACTCGGCGTTGACGCCTGGGGGAGAAGCGGCGAAGGTGACCGCTCGTCGTGAGGCGCGACACAGAACCGACCCATTGCCTAACGTTTGTGTCAAAAATTTAATCCATTAATACAAATATTCAAATTCCTATTAACAATTCAAATTCCGAATGAGAGAAAACAAAGTTTCTAATGAGATAACACAGATCCCTGTTACAATGTTTTATAACTCTCAAAGCTGTATATTTTCTTTGAGGTTTTTTTTTTCCCTTGTGAGCAAAGTAAATAATTGCACGGAGCTACAGCCACAGAGCAATGCTGATGTGTGCACAATGGAGTCGGGATGCAAAGGCGGGGACCCACAAGGCCAAGTCTGAGGTCGAGACCGAGGGTCATAAGGCTAAGCTGAGGTCAAGGCCGGGAGCTTTTTAAATCATGGCCATTGTCAAGGCCAGTCAAGGCTGGATTCTCTATGCTGAGGTCAGTGTCAAGACTAGGGCCACTTAAGCAAAGTCCTCAGACCAAGGCCACACCCTTGAGACCAAGGCCAAGGATGAGACCGGAGACATCGCTCTCTGACTGACGTCAAGGCCGAAGGACTAATCTCGAGGACTAAAGGCTGACGTAATGTCCGTTTGAAAGCGCCGTGTATGGATGTGTACGTCACTCTGCAGATAGGAAAAGGTGAAAATTCAGTCGTTCGAATGCATGTGCAACATAATATCCGTGGAGAGGTTTTACTGGGTTGGTTCCGCCCCTTGTATAACATAATTACAGTCCGAACATTTTACAACAAACCGCATGTGATCCCGAGCAAGCTTTTAAATTCCATATCGAGTTTCTCCGTAAACTGCCACAACCCTCCAAGACAAGCAACTGGATGCTCAGCCGAGCCTTCAGTAACGACCAAATACATCAGTGGTGATTTATCATAGGCCTCGTTTACCAGCGTTAGGGTTAACACGTTACTGGGAAGTGAAATATGGCCTGAGATGGGGGGGGGGGCGGGGGGGGGTGTGTGCAGGGGTGGGGGGCATTAAAGTGCACAGGCGAGGACTTTCGTACTCTTCCACATTTGCAGTCCTGAAAAGCACTCGTAATGCGAGACCTTGCACCTCTGACACGATCGGGCTTCAGTGCATTCCCTGAACTGATGTGCGATTCGTAACAGTGCCAGGAGCCCTGTACATCAGCCGGGCTAAGGCGGATGAATGACTGGGTGCAACGTGATGGAAAGACAAAGAGTTTGCGGCAACAACAAAAAACGAAACAAGCTGCTTTGCCATCCTTTAACGCAATCGACAATTGACAGTAATTTTAGAAACGTTATCGTGAGAACTAAAAATTGCACAAATGGGTGGGGTGTCATGCATGGGATTATGGTCATGGATAAAGAAAGGATGTGGCTTATAATGTCCGCTTTAATTTGTTACTACCTTACATTGTGTCATGTCTAAAGTATAGTAGTTTAGAGTGAGTCTGTATTTTTATCGTTCCATTCTCAAGACTTTACTACTCACCCATATATACAGTCCAATCTGCTTTATTTTTTTATTTTACAAAATTAAATAACCCTGCAAAAAAAATTGTATGGCAACACCACTGTCAGGTTTATTCATTCACTCGGTCTCAGCCCAATCATCCACTTCCACGGAACGTTAAAAGCAACATTCTACGGTAAATAAACAGGTTGAATTGGAAAGCAGCTGCATGCAATTTTTTTAAAATGTCCGAACCCCTTTAGGAAAAAAAAATACACATTTTGCTCCGCCGGCACAATCTGGCTGATGCGATTCCTCAAATGCCATGTAAACCTATTTTTCTGTTCTTTTTCTGGACGGGATGTGGTCTCGCTTGAGCGGTGTGAATAATTGTTTGCAGAATACTTCTCTTGGACCTGTACAACAATTTGTTCTTCCCCCCCCCCTTCTTCCCTCCTCAGCTCAAACCAATTTATGCCTGGTGTCAACAAAGTGGACTATCGTTGTAAATGTGCGGGCTGCTCTCTAACGCACTCATGGTGCTGAAGCAGTAACTAATTGGCCCGTTCTGTTCACAAACCTTCACCAATTGGCTGTGTCGGGAGCAGGTGGGTGTAAAACACATTTACATTTACGCGATCTAACCCAAAAAAACTTTATCATGAATAGTGCATTTTCTTCTTCAGCAGAAGGCATCAATTACCTTCTTCTGCCAAATGATAATAATACAAAAAATAACTCTTTGCTTTTATAACGTGTACGTATTTGCAGAAAGGCCAAAGTGTGCATATATACATTAATATTTTTTATTCAAAGAATGTCTCGGGTTACTTTTATAACAGAAGGAAATGTGTACTCATGTAATTAAATATCGATTTAATTTATACAGAATCCACACAATCTTTGGTGACATATAGGTGGATATCAATAGACATAATATTGGCTCTTTGCTTTTATTGGGTGGAATTGTGAACAAGAGCCACATCAGAAGTGAGTACGTCCAATCGGCATTATCGTTGGTTCACCGCAGCTCAAAGACTCAGTCCCTACAAGGCGTGTGGTGAAGTTAGGAGATCTCCATGCGCCCGGCATTTGAAGGCCTGAAGGCCAGAATCGGTGATTTCACCGACAATGTGTTCAGGGAAGCAGCTCCATATCCGGACAGCCGAGTGAAGGGAGCTTCTGTCCAGGGAGCAATGGTCTGACAACTATGTATTCAAACTAAGTTCACAGAGTGATCACACATACATTAATTCTCTCATGTAATATTGATTATATGCAGCATATGTACAGAATGGACATATAATACAATTCCTACGTGTCTATTTTTATTCCAAAACTAGCCAAATATTTTAATTGACGTAAAATCACGAATATAAAAAGGGGTGGAGCGGTGGCACAGTTGTTAGCACAGACTCTGTGAACCCAGACATCTCAGCTTGAATCCCAGCCATGGTTAACATCAGTCGCGAGTGATATCTGAACCGGTCCAGGCTCCCTATTCACCAACCTCATATTGACCAACAGGTAGTGTATAGCCAAAAAATCCCCATGACCGACATTGCGTGGGGAGGCCTTCATCCAGCAGTGGATTGAGAAAGTGTTGTATATTTATATGTTAACAACATGTTGTTGTGGGAACAAAGTTGTTACCAATTGCAGTATACATTTGATTCATTATTCACACTGGTTCATTAACCTCATTGCCATAGCAAGTTAATAATTGTAAATACTTGTTGCAGTCTACTTTTAGGTACCACAAATTATGAGATAGAGCGTACAAATTATCGTGAAAAAGATATTGAAAATGTTACACGAAACCTAACATTAAATACACTTCACAAGAGGGTGTTTTTTTGGGGGGTTAGATCGCATCCATATAAATGTGTCATTAAACCCGCCACCACGACACGTAACGACAGATGTATATCTACGCGATCAAACCCTCCCCAAAGAAACCCTCTGCTATGGTTAATATTGGTCGCGAAAGACTATGTGTTAAACTAATTAAATATGGTTAACACCGACCTTATATGCTGATCTGTCAATGAGTTATGGAATAAGGGCCAACGTACGGAGAACACACATTTCCATAATAAACACGGGCCTGTGAGGGCATTCAATGTAGTATTATTGGAATATTTTAACTGCTCCTCTGAAAGTAGGCGGACCGCCAAAACAAGGCCTTTGACAGCTTGACGTACGGGCCACATTAGAGCGAATGGAACACCGTGGACAACGCGCTGACCCCCTGCCGCACGGGGAGTGGCAGGAGAGCTTGAGACGAGGGGCTCACCCGGCCCTTTCAGCAAGGGACAATCAAGCCCAAGTCACTTAGTTACGTGGACATCATTATCATCAGCCACGATCTATCCACTGCTGGAAGATGGTCTCCCCAACGCCCAGGATATTTCACACGGTCTTCCGATGCAATGGATCCGTGGAGATGCTGCCCGCGTGCTGATTTATGGCTACATTTCCGGAGTCGATGTCCTCTCGGATATGTTCCATCATTATGAAATAGCAAAACGAATCGTATAATTGAGCATTTTTTTGTTCGGCAACACGCAGCTGGAAAGTGGAACATGGCACGAATGCTGCCGTGTAGACATACTGTACGTGAACAGTCTGTATTAATAGAACACTCTTAATATTTCCCCCGATGTTTCAAATCACCAGAAGACAGTTTCGAGAATCGCCTGAAATAACCTCCTTAACCTACTATACTCATTGGCAACATTTTTGAATCGTACATAAAAAAATCACTGATTTATGAACTGCGGAAACAGTCATACTTTAAGCACTAATATGAAAAAAAATATAAATGAAAATAAAATACTCCGATACAAGGTAAGCAATCTATCTTGAAATGAGTGGGTTCCACGGCATTCCAAATAATTTGTCTTGCGCATTCTCTCTCTCTCTCGCGCGCTCTCTCCTTGTCTCCAGGAGACTAATATTGCTGAACAATGAGGCCGGGGGTGGGGGGGGGGCTTTGGAGTCATGATAAGACAATTTGTCACGGAATAAAAAAAAGCGGTAGGAAAAACCAAAAGTTCACGTGTGCAGCTCCAACGGCGCGCATCCACGCGGACCGAGACCGCCGCCCGTGCCGAAGTCCTTCTCCGTCAGGTAACTTATCGCCCAACCGGTGGCTGCCTGCCAAAGGGTAATGGCACACCCACCACCCGCCTTTCGGCTTATAGCGCAGACAAAGCTCAGTGAGAGCACGCTCTCTATCCATACATGGTAAAATAAGATAAACGAGTCGATGGCCCCGAAATGAACACTGCACGTGGGGAGAGGTCGTGTGTTTCACTTTTAACGTTCCCGTATGTTTTTTTCAGCTCCAACTTTGCAACAACAGAAGCCTCAACTCATGATACGAGAGACTTTTATGCTACAGTGAGGGTACAGTATTTCCTTTTTCAGGTTTCTTGGATGTGCTTTTTTCCCCCTCTGCTGCAAAGCTAAAGCCATTAAAGAGATTGGAACAATCGTGTTACTTTCATTGCCCTTTAATACCTTCGACCTCCAATGCCAACTGTTATACATCACGCTACAAAGAACACGCCAAGAGTTCTGGCTGAAAATCCACCAGAACCCGAACCCAGACAACCAGATATCATCCCTTTGAGGTTTGTATTGCAAGGGGTAATGATGGTAATGATGGAAGCCGGTGAATATTATTTCTATTATAAAATTCCACTTGCAATAAAAAAAATTACAAGCGCCTGACAAATGCCCACCGGTGTGACATTCACCAAGGATCGGAGCCACATCCACTCACCATTGCTGCAACTAATTTATGTAAAAAAAATCCGAATGGCCACAGGGAGCATGTGACATTTGGCGCTATTCACACTCGACGGTGATGCTCCACTCCAATCGTGAGCAATGTCTCACCGGTTTTTTTTTTTTCACGGTTGCTGAGTACAGGTCCAAAGGCCCAAAAACGCTTCGTAGCCAACACACAGTGAAGGATTAATAGATGAGTGTTAACATGTTTCTTGAATTTATTGAGAGTTATGAGAACTTGGTATGTCAGAAGATGCACTTCAGAAGGCTGTTAGGAGTAAGTCGAAGAGACGGGTAAAGGAAAGAAGAAATAAGTGAAAGAAGAGGGCTACCAGATGCTCTCTTTAAAGCAAAAACATTCAAGTGGAAATGGGCAGCACCCGTCATGAGAACTACTGATGGGAGACAAAGGACAGACTCAACTACAGAGTGGATACTGAGAGATGGCAAAAAGAAGCAGAGGAGCGGAGTTTAGAGGTCACCACTGGACAGGAGCAACTGGGAAAAGGAATGGAAGAGAGTTGAGGATGCCCTCGTCCAGCAGTGGGAAGTTAAAGACCGACAACAAACAACATCAGAACTTGCGGAAATCTTCCTGGCATCAAAAATGAAACAACAATTCCAGCTGACGCACAAGCAAGGCGCTCGCCCGTTTGCTCTACCTTCATCGTCGTCCGTGGCGCTGATGCGCAGCAAGCTCGTGCCGGGCGGCGCATCCTCCGGCACCTCGGCCGCGAGCGAGTCGTTCTGCACGGAGGGCGCATTGTCGTTGGCGTCCAGGACGTTGACGTAGAGGCGCGCCGTCGCCGCGAGGCCGCCGCCGTCCGTGGCGCGGGCCCGCAGCACGTAGCACGCGCGGCTCTCGCGGTCCAGCGGCCGGGTCACGTTGAGCGCGCCCGTCACGGGGTGCAGGCCGAAGGCCCCGTCGGCCCAGTCGCTGTCCTCCGAGGGCGCCAGTGCGTAGGTCACCTCGCCGAAGGGGCCCGAGTCAGCGTCGCCGGCGAGGACGGTGCCGATCACCGCGCCTGCGTCGGGCGGCACGGGGCAAGTGCCCCGACAGATGAACGACACAAATCCACTGTTGTGGGTTCGATCCCGATCCTGATGCCTGCTGTATATTTGGAGTTTGCGTGCCTCTCTCGCTGTGGTCGTATGAATTTTTCTTCGGGTCTTCCGGTTTTTCCCTCCGCATTTAGAAACAACATCATGAGTTTAGAGTATTTGGCTGAAATACATTTCCACGTGATAAGCCATTTCGTTTGGCTATCATTTGTGGCCAGGTCTCTTCTCAAAAAGAGCTTTATAGCTCAGTAGGCCTTACTTGGTAAAATTAAAAATATATATAGTTTCATGCTTATTCATATTCTTGGTTCTTTCAGTAAAGTCACGTATTTTATTGTTTCCCTTCTACGTGACTTGACCGAAAGAACCAAGAATATGAATCCCTGCAGTCACGAAAGCTTTAAATCAAAGTTTCATGCTTGTTTAGTTTATATGCTACGTTGTTGTGTAATAACACCTGGGACTTTTTCCTGGAGCTGTCAATCGACCCCGCTCGATCGGTGCCAGTGACGTAACAATCTGACTTGCTGTGCACCTCATATTTGATTTGTTTTTGTTGCCTCCCCTTCCCTGTTACTTTGTCCCCTGGTCACTACCCTTCTCACCCTCTATGCGTTTCGTGTTGATTCAATAAATACGTTTAAAAAAAAAGTAGCAACCCACAGACTGCTGGGTGAAAATTTGGCAGCCTAAAATCTCCCGACGGTGGAGATTTCTCCCCGCTGAGATGCAACCGCGTGGAAAACCGCATCCATGAAGACACCCCCATAGTTATTCACAACCTCACACCCGACGAACACTGCGAACCTAGTCATTGTGATAATAATCAAACAAGACCTGATGTTGATCTAAATCATGGGTGGTATATGGTATGCACGAATGGCGGAAGCCACATTTCTGTCAGAGTTATTCACGTCGGGGTCATCTTGCAATAAGATACGTGAGCTATTCAGGGTTCGGAAGGCTGATGGATAGGCAAGGCACCAGGAAGAAAATTACAATTGAGAATCTGCACATTTTGCTCCTCCTCCGCAAGACCAAGCAACAGCGTGCGTTCTAATCTGCACCAGCCGTTCAAGCCGACTGATAGAAGACTGCCACCTAGCAGCATGATGGACATGGCCTTAACTATAATCGTCAGCTAATCATCGAGGAATATCATTACAGTGAAGTCAGATTGAATGCATTCATTACCAGGCTTTGGTTTGTGTTCTGCAAGCAGCGTCATTTTTTTAAAAGCCAAGATGGGTTTTTTTTTACTTACACTCATATGGAAACAGCCCTTTTGGGACATGGGTTGCATATTTGTGAGCTGGACGTTTGCCACTTGCTGATGATATTCACATGGTGCCCGTACTTTTTTTCTCTGAGCAGGAATAACATCAGCCTCAATTTGGACCATCTCCAGCAAAGAGGGCTCCGTCAACAGGGTTTAGGGTCAACCGTTGGTGACAAATAGCAAAGAGGGCTCCGTCAACAGGGTTTAGGGTCAACCGTTGGTGACAAATATTGCATCATGTTAATTGTGTTGTGCTAACGAAAAAAGAAATCTGGCACACAGAAGTAAATAATGTTAATAGCAAGTATATCGAGAATACTATCACTCTGCTGCAACACTTCTCCTCATGTACACTTTTCAAACGTCATTACAGTTTGTATGATACCATGGCCAATGCGTGTCCATGGCATTCAAAAGGCAATCTGTGCAATGCATCTACTTGATCTCTAAATACATGTGTATGACAGCATTCCATAAATGCTCTGAAAACATAATGAGAGCTACAAAAAGCCTCACATTAGCTTCTAATGACCTTTTTGAACAGCTTAACTGACATTATTTCCTAATAAGTGGCGTTGAGGTTTGTGGTAAATGGATCTTTAATATAGGTCTGCGCTTACAGTCGCAACCATTAAATAACAGAGAGGACACAAACAAGATGAGGAGTTATGGAACACGGATTTGAACCGTGGATTGCAGTTTTGATGTTTGATTGCATAGGATTAATCTGAAACAGGTGGATTAAAATGCCTAACAGGTTATAGGATAAGCTAAAATAAATAACGTTATGGAAATACTAACTTACCAGAAAGAAAGAAAGAAACAACGCCTATATATGAAGTATAATTTTGTTTTAAGTCATGTTAAAAACAGCCACGTTTCTGAGAAAAGTTCCCCAGGTGGCTCAGAGGTCAGGAAATTGAGCTGGCTTCACCAAGATCGTGAGCCTGAATTCACTCAGCCACCCATGCTCACACTAGATCTCCAAAGTGTAGTGAGTTGATGGTATCAGCTGGGTCACCAACGGCCGCACAAAAAAAACAATGACATTAAAAAAATAATTTTTACTCTATTATGACAGCGAACATTTTTCTGTAGCAGGGCATGTGGGAAAATGTGCCATTAGGTACACTTACCCATTTCTAAGATCAATTTAAGGTTACTTGAACTGATCTCAGTTGTATCTTTCTACAGGATCTTCTCTACCATAATGTTGCCCTTCCCCTGCACCGTACGTAGCCAACCATTAGCATGGTTGGCTACGTACGGTGCAAAATAAGTTCAACATACGTACACGCATACAAGCGATGCAATACTCTGCAATAGTTCTCACAAGAACATGCAGAGCTCAGATTTTCCTTGGTACTTGCCCAGCTACACACCGGCTGCGGGAGTTGATGTAGAATGGGGGCCTTCAGCCATTCCACACATCGAATCGTGCCAAAAGCTGGCTGATGAATTATGCACAATAATTGTGGTTGAATGTCTGCATAACTCTAGAGTTAAGCAAACGTGCAGAATCAAAACTCGATATCAATCAGGCCCTTTGTCTCATCGCATGATTGATCCCTGACAATAGAACTGGAAGAAAAAAAATGTAGGGGAAAAAGTGAAATTATAAAACCGATCACATTTTCAGATTTCTGCATACGCATTCATGTATGTATGTTGATCTTCTTTCGCACCGTACATAGCCAACCATGCATGGTAATCGGAAGTGCGGGAGAGGACAACAAACTAAACACAAAAAGCAGTTCTAAAGAAAAAACTTAAAAGTACATAGCTCCAGTGGCTTCCGAATGTCGGAAGAGCTTTCCAGACAGCCGCAGAAGAGCATCTGAAAGCATACTCTTTGGTTCTATTGGGTAAATTCACGTAGGTAAAAAAATAAAATAACAAAAATCAGGACGTTTCGGCCACAACACAAGCGGCCTTCATCAGGTGAAGGGATCAGGCTGTCTCGAGGACAGCGCGGGAGTGAAACACAGCCACGCTCAGACCGCGGACCTTTAAGCTGTGTGCGAGCAAACAAGGTGTCCTGACAAAGAAATTAGCAAAAAAATTAGCATTTGATTGGCCGATTTTAGAAAAGAGGTGGTGTACGTGCCGGTGGACTTGCCGTTTGGCGCGGGGGGGGCGGGGGAGTTTACCTATTGATGGTGTGAAAAGGGAATTTATAAGAGCTGCGAAAGTTTGGGGTACCACTACTTGAAAAATATACTGTACCATTGAAATGAGTTTAATGTTTAGTTCGATTTAGAACATCTTTCCAATGGTTGCTTAATTTGAAACCATCTTCTCGGTTGAAATTGTGTCTGTGTTTGTAGATCTGAATTGCCTCATGAACAAATCTCTGATAAAAACCCGTGGGTTTGCAAATAACCTTGGTATCGGAGAAAATTATATCGTGATCACCCACAGCGTTGTAACAGTGATCAGCCACGGCAGAAGAATTCGTTTTGCCGTTTTGCCGTGTCGTTTTGCCGTGTTTTGAAAGCACGCAATCCAGCAACTGTTTTTGTTCGATGGTCAGCCAAAAAAAACGCAGCGAGGATTACCGAAGTTTGCATGACGGTACAAGGATCGACGGCCACGTAAGTCGCATTTATGTCAGGAGACGCATGTGCGGCCGTTGCGGCGAGTGGGACGCGACGATTACCTGGGGCTGCATCCTCGGCCACGTCGAAGGAGTACGCGTGGCGGGAGAAGCGCGGGCTGTTGTCGTTGGCGTCGCGAACGGCAACTGAGAGCCGCGCGTCTGTGGCGTGAGTCCCGTCGCTGGCGCGCACCGTCAGCAGGTAGGAGGCCCTCTCCTCGCGGTCCAGCCGACGGGACGCCCGCAGGACGCCCGACGCGGCGTCCACCACGAACGCGCCCTCCGACCCACTCAAAACGCTGTAGGTCACCAGCGCATTCTGGCCCTGCCGGTGCGGGATGACCCACAACGACAGCTTGCATTTATAATGCACCGGTAATGTTGCGAGTGTCAACAATTAAACAGAATTGGGCCATTGGCATGCTGTTAATCGCAAAGAAAAAATAAGTTTCGGGCAATGTCCCTTCTTCATCGTAGAGAGATATATAGATGGGCCAGGGAAATCGAGCGAGTTTTAGTTTGAGACTGCACTATACACTATGGGGACTGTTCCCCAAAAACATCACTCGTTATATATTTCTTATTTCCCTTTGTGGGAGTGTTACAGACCAATTTGTTCAGTTTCTGTTATTATGTTTGTGTAATCTTCTTTGGTTCTTTCGGTAAAGTCACGTAGAATGAGAATAAAATAATAAATTGATAAAATAAAATAACACAATAAAATTCTCACGACGTTTCGGCCACAACACAAGCGGCCGAAACGTCGTGAGAATTTTATTGTGTTATTTTATTTTATCAATTTATTATTTTATTCTCATTCTACGTGACTTTACCGAAAGAACCAAAGAAGATTAATCCTTGCAGTCACGAAAGCTTTAAATCGAAATGTTTGTGTAACACTGCCAACGCAATATCACGCAATTTTCTTTGACAAGGAAAAGAGCCAGGAGGCTGTTTATAAGGGCCCAGACTGCTTGTGCTCATTTTCAGGGCATCACATGTTCTTCTCCAGCAATACACATTACTCCTCACAGTGGGAGAGAAAGGTAACACAATGCTACCACATGGCAGCACAAGCTGTGGGTGTTACCAATAAAAATATATATTTTATTCTCCAGACACTGCGAATAGGACACTTTTCAGTTTAGTATAGATTTGGAAAAAAACAAGGTATAGCCTGCCAAAAATGCTTACTCCCAGTGTCCAAATTCCAGCGGAGGAAACATTTTGGCAGTTGCATGCACCTGGTCAATATTGGCAATATCAACAATGATAGGCTTCGGTTTAAGCGACTGCATTTTAGCCGCACCTGAGGCAACGTGTTTTGTTGGTTGGGCCCACCTGGTCAGCGTCAGTGGCGCTCAGGGTGAAGATGACCTCCCCTTCACCGGTGTTCTCCTCCACTTCCAGCTCCATCTCCGGCACGGCAAATACCGGCGGGTTGTCGTTGACGTCCTCCACCGATATTTCCACCTGGCGGTGGGAAGCGCACGTCGCAAGAGGGCGCGTAAACAAACGGCCCACACGTTTCTCCCTCGTGATGTGCGTCTCCGAAGCGCTGGGTCGCTTCCGACACCAGTGTATGCGTGTGTGAGATATGCTTCTTTTGTCAATTTGAGTTTCCTTTGAGAAACAAATCCACTGGCCTCACTTGCACACGGGCGATAGCAAGACCGCCTGCCCCCCCCCCCCCCCCCGCCAAAGTGTGCGGTTTGCAGAGCTGTCCCTGTCGGCGATGTGGGGAGATTGCTTTACTCTTCAAACATGCGTGACAAAATAAATGTTTTTTTTTAAATTACCCACTCTGTATTGATTATAATCTCTCTTTAAAAATTTTGCCACACAAATGGGTAAATGCCTGCCTAATTTGAAAGGGAGTCTCAGAATAACAAAGCTGATTGAAATAACGAAGCTAAAATAAGTAACACCTTCCAGTCACTGGAGCAGAATGTTTGATGTTCTTCATAGAATATATTCAGCTGTACATCTTGCAATCATTCCATTCGTGGGTTTTCCCTGATGAGATAAGCTTAAAATAATTTGGTTTCACAAAATGGAGGGATAAAAAGCTTCCAAAATCAACATTCTTACCAATTCTCTCGCCTAAATTTTCTCCAGATTCAAGTCTGACTATTCACTTGAGGGCTCAGTCACACACTCACCCACATACTGCCATCAGATTGAAATAAAAAAAAAACTTTAAACTTTGAAAGAGGTAGCCAATGAATAAGAATCTTACCTACATGTCACCGGTGTGTAAAGTGAGGTATATTTTTTCCCAATATTTTAAATAAAGCAAACTTTGCAGAATTCCAGGCGGTGAGTGGAGCTGCCTTTATTGCATATTTTCTTTTCAAATGGCTTGAAAGAAACCGTTAACATAGAGTGCTCCCCTCTCACGTGTTTACATTAAAAAAAACAGCAAAAGATTTAAAATGAAACATTCGGTATCAGCCAGAGTCACGGACATACCAACACATTTTTACTGTACTTTCTATTTATATACCACAGAACTGCATCTTTAAACATTGCACTTGGTATGTTGAGCAGTATCTTATTGTACGTAGTTTTTTTTTCTTCCAAGAATGAGTGGTCTCGTACAGATTAAGGCACTCAAGTGCAAGTGCAAGGGAGTGTCAATGCAGTCATGTTCACTTGAAGTCAGTGTGGGTGGTTGGGCTACTGAGATGAAGTGCAGTAGTTTGTCGGTGATGCCAGTGTGGTGGATAGAGAGAACGTACTCTTTCCTTGCTGCCACAGAGCCAAAAGCCACAGCCGAAAGAAAAAAGATGCATACGAAACACAAAAAAGGCTCATTGCAAAGAGTGGCAATGATGACACCCCCCCCCCTTCACTAAATTGTTTAAGACGCGTAACAAGCGGCGGCCTTGGTGGGGGCCCCTCCTCGCGCGTCCGTGATTCACGGCTGGCGAGAGCGAAGGCATACTTGACGACGACGAGACCCCTCCGCCCGACCTCGAGGCTCACGCCGTGAACAATTTCCTCCTCCTTCCCCTTTTGTGCCGCCTAATAGAAACGGCTCCATTGTTCCGGAGTCGTTACAACGTTCTAGGATTTCTGACCCCCTTCGCCGCCCGGCGTGAGACCGCATCGGCACGACATGCGCGCTCATTTAATATCCGTCAGCACCGGCAATTAAGGCTTACTCTCTCGAGTCGCCTTTTAATGGGAGTAATACGTATTTTCCATAAGGAACATGCAGATGTTTTATGGAAAAGCTGTTTTAGAGCTTATATTTTTCAATTCCCCTGGCGGCGATGGGACTCTTTGGAATGCGTGTTAATGGCAACAGTGCGTTAACACTGAACTTTAACTTGCAGTTCATTTAACGAACTGACATCAAACGAAGTGTCGTCGTCGTGTGGACAACAAATGTGCGATGGCCGCACGCAAAGGGCACTACAAAGCACGTGCACGCTTATCTTTTGGCGATGGGCTTCCCCCGATCTCTCCTCATAATTTTACAAATTGCACTTGCACCAAGTAACTAAATAATGACAGTCGCTTGCGCAGCGGCAGAGGAAGTAAGTCACACCGCACAAGCAATCCCAGAGGTGCCAAGAAGAGATTTATAGCTGCGTGCTGTTGTTGTTGCTGGAGGAGGGGGGGGGTGGGGGGTTGGGATTTTTGTTCATTCTTTCTGAAAGGATAAAGGGCCTGCCTTGGAGGGCCAGCGTCTGGCTAAGGGAAGGGCTTTGTGTCACCGCTTCCCGTCCTGTTTTCCTGCCACCGCTAGCGCCGTTTGCCGCCGCCACCACGACTGCGGGCGGAGGATAAGCCCCGTGCGGAAATCAGGCGTGCGTGCCACCCGCCTCTCTCGCACGAGCCAGCGCCTCTGCGTGGGAACCGGGACTGGCCCGAGCGTTTTACCGCAAGGCCTAATTATAGGCACCGCTGTTTCCTACAGGAGTAATGGGGCCCTGGTGATGAGAGGGCGCACATTCCCTCGTTTATCGCGTCTTAGTCCACAGGTGCTTTTCATCGCACCAAGCCAACCTTTGAAGACAAACTCATTGTGAGCTTGTATACAATATTGATTTTAGATTTTTTTTTTTACGTTGCATGGGGCACGGTGCTCTTCGTAAAAACATCTGACAACCAAGCAGCATTTGTTTAATAAGAGCGACTCTGCTGATGAGACTCAGAAGGTTGACACCGGACCAGAGTTTGGTTGCTTAAACAAATACTGTGGGATATTATTGGTCTGGAAAAGCAATAGACTGAAGGACTAAAACATTTTGTATTTGGAGACGCTGAACAGTCTGTATATACAAATTGCAACTTTTGAATGAGCTATGTGGACCAATAAGGCCAGGCAAATTTGAGACACAAATACCAACGTTTATTTTGTATACATTTTAATTTGAGGATGTTGTGACTTTTAATGTATATATTGAATGCAATCTTCTATAGCATCTTAAAATATGTATATCACTCCCCCCCACACTCCACCTCAGTCAAAGTAAAGGGGATGTTTTTAAAAGCCATTTCATATCCGATAAATAATTTTGGAATTGCTTTGTCAAGGACAGTCAATGATAATGGAGCAGTTACGTGCGATATTTAAATTATATATTTTACGTGCCACATTCATTTTATAGAGCCTTACAGTTTTACATTTCATCAGAACAAGGCAATCATTACATTTACCCTGATTAAAAAAAGTGTTTAGCAGCCCCCTTTTCTCGCGAGAAAACGTGTAAAGGAAACGTGTTTAAAATATTTGTTTCTAAAGATTGGAAGCTAACGGTACATGGGAGTAAAATGTTGGGAAGGGCTGCTTCCAAAAATGGGCACGAGTCAAGAAGAAGGCTTGTCCAATTAAGGGTGTAGATAATGGGATTTTTTTTTGGGTGCAGGCCACATAAAAACAACAGCTGCAAGTGCTGAAACTCACTCCGCTTGTACAAGTGGAGCACAAACCGAAACTGCCCGAGAGCAAAAAAAAAGTATTTTTTTTAATTGAGTGCAGTGCAAAACCAAGTGCCACCTGCAACCCTCCCGAGGAATGACCGTCTCCAGAAAGAAAAAAAAAGGTTCTCCCAATAACTGAAACCACCCGTCCTCTGAAAATCCTAAAGCGCATGCTCAAATCACCACCAAACACCAAGGCATGGCCCTGCACAGTTAACCTGCAGCCTATAACCCTAATTTCAGTTTTAACTTACCCATCGTGAGCGGCGTGCAGTATTGCATACGTTTCGATGGGATCGACTTGCCGCATTCATTCGTCTCATTAAAACTATTTGAAAACATTCACCACTTTCATAAATATTTGTGTGGCTATATCCTGCAATAAAACATGATTTATGTTCATTCAAAAACACAAACATTGTGTCCAGATGCTACACACATAAATAATGTATCTCTATTTCTTACCACAGGGCACAATAATATACCGTGCACCAGAATAAGCTTATAAAAAAAACTATTCCTGGAATGTATATGACACATAATTGGACTGCATTTACTTCCAAGCAGCCCATTATGTAAATAAAGTGCATTCAACCCTAAATTCTTCCAGCGGCCTTGCATTCATTACCCTGTCAAGATCATACCCGCAAACTCCACCAATTCCTTAGAAGAAATGTGTGTGGGACTGCTCGCACATGAGTTCGTTATCTGTGAGACGTGAGCACATTCGTGACAAACGACGATCGCTGTTCAGATTAGAAAACGCGAACAAATAGCATGTAGTGAACATTGGAACCCAAAGCAAGTCACACTCATATTTGTCTTATTCATATAGTTAGTAGGGCATACAGTGGTGTATGAGAAAGTACTGGATAAGCCACTGGCTTGTGTTTAGGGATGGGATATCCGATTATTTAAATCATAGATCAATCTACACACTATTAGATTGATTACTCAGCCAATCAAATAACACAAAAACATTTGGCAATTAAAAGGTAGCAGCGCCCTCCGTTCCCATGAATGGGAGGTGACGGGCAGGGCTTAGGGACGTCACAGGGAGCATCAACGGTGTGTCACTGGGTATGGTTTGTGGGGAGGGGGGGTTTCCTGCCTTCGGAAGGCAGAATGTGGAAGTGGTCGCCATCTTGAAAGGGGTCCAAGTAATGGACCACAAAAAGTTGTTGACTAGAATCTTTTTCGTCAATGAATGGACTTTTCTCGACTTGTTATTTGCACCAACTACCAATAACCACAACGACTACCAATGAGGACCTTCCTCAGGTCCATTCAAGAGGCAATAGGAAAAAAAAACTACACGCCAAAAAGTTGCTTCTCCAACTCAAAAAATTCTTACATCATTTTTCAGTTGATTAATGGGTGTTTTTTTTTAGAACTGGAATCATCAAATGCCTCATGACATCAGCCTGCAGGTGTCTTTGGTGCTTTTTTTTGGTGAGGGGAGGGGGGGATAAAAAAAAAAGGTTACTGCCAAAAAAATAAGAAAAATCGGTCATACAAATTACGCAGCTAATTACATT